GCAGGTAGGTGTCCTGAACGTTTATGAAGTGGGCAACGGTGGGAATTAGGAAAAGAAAAGAATATGAAGGACCAAGGTTAGGGGTGGGCCCCTGGTTTAGCTGTGGGCGCACAAAGTGCAGCAGCGGGTGACTTACCTTTAACTGCCAGGCGGATGCTCAAACAGAGCTTGGAGAAGATGCGACTCTTTTCGGCGTCCTTGGGACCCTTGATATGCCGGACTTTGGACCACTTGTTGTGCCCGGCGGGGGCCGCCGCCGTGAGGTGCAGCGTCCTGCCAGGAGCGCTGGTACAGCCCGTGGGCTCAGGCTGGGAAGCCGCGAGGGTGGGTGAAAGAGCCGCCCGGACCCCGGGGCCTAGAGCTCCCCTCAAGCACCGGGCAGCGACCCTGATCTGGCTGACGGCAGCCCAAGCTGCCATTGGCTCCGACCCTGGACCAAGGTCAGCAAGAACAGCCAACGAGCAGCGGCTAAGATCAGCCCGTGGCGTCCGAGGCAGAAACCGGCAAGTCCCGAGCTTGAGGCCGCCTCCACTCGTCTCCGGAGACCCAAGTGCTCAGGTCAGCGCGGGGTAGCCGGGACCCGAACGACCCAATACAAGACCCGCGGAAGCCCGGAGTGGGTGCCTTAGATAATGTTGCACACTTCCTTTCTCCGGTCCGTTCCAGAAACGCGCCCCCAACGCCCGAAAAGTCCGTTCCGCCGCACGGTACTTGCTCCAGTCTCGCGCCTCTCCTGAGCCGGGGCCGAAGTGGGGACGACTTTTGGAGTACAACTCAAATTTTTTAGCTTTAACTAATAGTTCGCTTGGGAATTTATTATTGTTGTTATTATCCAGCCTACTTTGTGATGGGCTCGGCACTCTCCTCCTTCTACTTTGCCATATTAGAAACAGATTGCTCCTGGTACCTTTTGCAGTTCCTGTATTCAGCACAAACCTGGGTCTTTTTGGATCCTTGTTCCACTTCACTTCACCTGGCTAAATTTTGCTCTTCCTTCAAGATTCAGTTCGGACATGATTTTCCACCAAAGGAAAACATGCCCTAATTCTCCAGTTGGGCACAGATGCCCTACCTCCTGCTCACATGACCCTTCATACTCGCCTGTACCTTAGCACTTTTTTAATCTAAAAATGTTTGTCTCCACCACAATATTAAATTCTTTGAGAGGACAGGACCCGGTGTCCAGCATAGTTTTTTTTTTTTTAATAACAGCTTTATTGAAATAATTCACAGGTCATACATCACCAATTTAAAGTGTATAATGGTTTTTAGGATATGTATTCAGACTTGTGTTACCATCACTATAATCAGTTTTACATTTTAGTCACCCCAAAAAGAAACCCTGTATCCATTAGCAGTCCTTTCCCATTTCCTCTCAATTTTCTCAGTCCTAGGTAGAAAATTTACTTCTTCCTCTATGGGTTTGCCTATTCTGGATGTTTCATATGAATAGAATCATATAATATGTGGTCCTTTGTGATTGACTTTTTTCACTTAGCATGTTTTCCGGGTTTGTTGATGTAGCATGAATCAGTACTTCATCCCTCTTTTATTGCCAAATAATATTCCATTGTATGAATCTACAACATTTTATTTATCCATTCATCTGTGATGGACATTTGGGTTGTTTCCACCTTTTGACTATTATAATATTGTCATGAACATTCATGTACAAGTTTTTGTATAGACATGTTTTTGTTTCTCTTGGGTATATACCTAGGAGTGGAACTGATGAGTTGTTGCAGTGACTCCGTTTAAACTTTTTTTTTTAATCTTTTTTTTTTTTTAATTTGACAGAGAGATCACAAGTAGGCAGAGGCAGGCAGAGAGAGAGAGTGGGGGAAGCAGGCTTCCCGCTGAGCAAGGAGCTTGATGTGGGGCTCGATCCCAGGACTCTGGGATCATGACCTGAGCCGAAGGCAGAGGCTTAACCCACTGAGCCACCCAGGCGCCCTCCGTTTAACCTTTTGAGGAACTGCCAGGCTGTTTTCCAAAACAGTTGCATTATTTTATGTTCCGACCAGCAATGTATGAGGTTTCCACTGTTCTCCACATCCTTGCCAACACTTATCATCTCTTTTTGACTGTAACTGTTGCCACCCTAGTGAGTATAAAGTGATAACTCACCGTGGTTTTGATTCATATTTCTCTCATGAGTAATGATGTCTAAGATGTTTTCATGTGCTTATTAGCTATGCATATATAGTATTTTTTTGTCATTTAAAAATACAGTTTAATATGTCCTTTTGAATAGCAAAAGGCAAATTAAGGGAATCACAAATAAGCATGAAGGCCAAAGTAAAGTCTGAGATTCCCCTAGTCCAATCAGCCTAAATCTACCAGGGCAAACCTGTAGTTCAACCAGGTCAGCTCTGGACTCAGTGCAACAAGAAAAACTCCACACTGGAGAGATGGTGAGGTGTCTCACCAAACACAGGAAAAGACAATTATTATAGGATTGTGGGGAAAGGTGGAGGTTAGGTGAAATTTCAATGGAATAGAGTTCAATAGTCTCAACAGAACACAGAAGCTGTGTCAGCATCAGCTCTGGACTGCAAAGCAGACCGAGTTCAATTTCCGTGCAAACTACAAAACTCATGGGGAGTGCCAGATTCCGAAGCACCTGCTCGTAAGTTTTATACCTGGGTTGGAAATCAAGGCTGCGTCTCTGTCAGAGTGACTTAGGATTCTCTAAAAGCAAGACTGTTAAGTCCTCATTCTCACTGATAGAATTTCAGACAGCAAACTTTTCTGACCGTCTCTGATTTTAGAGAAGTTTCTCAGCGATTATTAAAAAAAAAAAAGAAGCAGTCACTCAGAGAAGGGAACTTTTATGACATTTTAAGCTGCAGGTGTGCTTGTGAGAAATATTGTTTCCTGTTAACTTTGCAGCTTGTTTTATGTGTCTATTTATCTGTGATGAATAGCAGGGCAGAATTTTACTTTCTCAGTTTGAGCTAATACTGTCTCTAGATAAATGCACAGATGACTGAACCGTCGCTAGAGCCTGGTTTTCAGGATCACTGAAATCATTTACAATGAGCCTTGGCCGCTCATTTGTTGGTGGGGCAGAAACAGAACTATTTACGCACCACCTTATTTCCTCTTCCTAGGCGTACAGGAAGACTACCTTTCTCAAACATCCTTGCAGTTAGGTTGGAATCACGTGGCTGAATTTGGCAGATATGGGCAGAACTCTTCCTAACATATTTTCCCCTTCCAAGCAACCTGGGAGGCCACAAGTTCTGGATGATGTAGCTGACCAACCCCCAAAGGACTTCACATAAGCAAAAAGTAACATTTTGTTGTGTTCAGCCTCTGAGGTCTAGCGGTTTGTTACTGCATCTTAGCCCAGGCTAGCAAGGTGAATACCGCCAGCACAACTCTCCCAGAGCGCTCCTTAAAAACTAAAGAGCAGGAGGGGTGCCTGGGTGGCTCAGTGGGTTAAAGCCTCTGTCTTCGGCTCAGGTCATGATCCCAGGATCCTGGGATTGAGCCCCACATTGGGCTCTCTGCTTGGCTCTCTCTCTCTCTGCCTGCCTCTCTGCCTACTTGTGATCTCTCTGTCAAATAAAAAAATAAAATATTAAAAAAAAAAAGAAAAAAGAAAAAACTAAAGAGCAGGAATCTCCTATTTCGCATCTGTACAGTACAGTTCTAACAGAGCCAGCAGGTGCTCATTTTGTCCCATGGAGTCTAAACTCTTGGAAGTGGTTTTTTGTTTTTTAAGTAGGCTCCACGCCCAACATGGGGCTTGAACTCACAGCCCCGAGATTTAGGGTCATGTGCTCTACTGACTGAGCCAGCCAGGAGCCGCATAAACTCTTAGAGTATGTACTTCTTTTCCCCAGACCCACTGCTGCCCCCAGCTCAATTGTTTCTGTCACGATGGCAGTTACTTGCCGAATACTGGGTCATGAAATCAATCACCTACTTCTCTTCCCTTGAAATGAAATCAATCACCTACTTCTCCTCCCTTGAAATGATTTAATGTGAGCCCAGAATGAAAATAAAAATAAACAGAAGGAGTATTCAACCAGGACTCAGAGCATCTGAACAGCAGTGGGGACAGGCACTCCTCCATCTTACCACATTGGGATGTAGGCTGAGGAAACTGGCTTGAACTTGGAAACCCTAGCCGGCATCAGAACCTGGTGTCCAAACCCACAGGGTCTGGGAATTATCGTTTGTCATCCTTCAGAGCCCGCAGTTTGCTGCATCCTGATGACCCCACCTCTTAAATCTCTTCCGTTATGTCCTGTCCTTTCCTCCCCTGCTGCTCCTGCTTTAGTTCAGGCTTTTACTTTCTCTCATCCGATTACAGTAGGTGAACGGACTTCCTGTTGCATCCCCTACACGGACATTTTCTTCACTACCTCCTAAAGTGCAGTTCTGAGCATGACTTGCCTCTACATGAGTTTTCCAAAATCTCATACAGGTGTAAGGTCTAAACTTCCTGCAATGCACAAAAGACTCTGCCTGATCTGGCTTCTACTTACTTCTCTAGCGACAGTCCCCATTCAAAATCCCACATCAACTTATAATTTTCTGAATATGGCCATATTCTTTCTTGCCTCTATACATTGTACATGGATGTGCCTTCTGCTTTAAATATCTTTCCCTATTCCCAGAGAACTCCTACTCAGCCTTCAAAATTCAGTTTCACCCTCCCTTGTCTTGTGAAGTTTTCCCTGACCTCCTCTGGCTCCTACCCAGACACGGGGGATCACCTCCTCCTCAGGGCAACCAGTAAGCCTAAACACTCCCGTAGCTTCAACACTGCCAGGAACTGTTTATCTGGGAGACTGCAAGCAACTTGAGGGTCACAGCCCCTGGCACAGAGTAGGTGCTCTGTGTTTTAGTAAAAGGAATGACTCAGGCTGTCAGATAGTATGATGGGCTGGGGAGGACTCTCGTCACCCAGCCAGTGTCTCTGGAACATGACCACAGTGGCAGAATGGGAAGAACTGAATTCATCACAAGAAGAAATTCAGTCAATCTATACATGTTCAAGTTTTATTACAAAGTGTGATGGGCAGAAAATACGGTACTTCTTATACAGGAGGCTGAAACAGAATGAAAGGGTGAAAATTAGGTTTAATATACTCAGGAAGCAAGAAATAAAGTCATAGATGTAATACTCCACTTTCAGGTGCCTTTGGAGTCGCCTTCAATGGAGATTTACCATTGTGGTCTCACAGCACAGTGTTAACATTTTATTACGAGCCCTGTGTACAATCAGTCCTGTGATAACAATATTTTAAAAAAGAAAAATGGGATAGTACAGTTCTGCAAGGGGACAGCTTCCTCTCCACCTGACCATGGGAGGTCACAAAAGCTAGAGTATAGAGGAAAAGCTTAAATATATAACAAGAAATGAAGTTCAGACGTACTAGGCTAGAGGAGACAGAAATTGATTGGCTAGAGCTTAACATCTCGGAGAACAAGGAATCTCCATTTCCTACATAGAGGTTTGTACAATCATGCTACAAGTTCACACTCGGGGGGTGGGGGGAGGTCACTGACAGGGTCATAAAATACACAGGAACCAAAGCAAGTGATCCAACTCAACTCAAGCCAAGTCAAAGCTTTAGCTCAACAAGTCTCGTTGCACACCGGGTTACCACAACCAACCCCAGGCGATCTTGTCTTCAACAGCAGACATCACGAGTCCATAGCCAATGGGTTGTCCTAAAGGTGGGTCCTTGTAAGTTTTCTAGCTGTTACACAGACTGCCAACATCCTTCTTCTTGAGTTCATACTTTCACTAGCTTATTTGTTTCTGGTTTTACACCAGTCCAAAGCCTCTTGGGGAAGGCACCCGCATGTTTCCAGACTTAAAAAATAATATCCACAAGGTAGCCTGAGAGGACCGGGCCCACACTGTATAGTCACACCTTTGACTCTGAGAGCCAGTGGCAATGACAATGGTGGGAGAAGAAGAGAGTACAGGTGGACAAGGCAGGCAAGGCTCTGCAACAGGAGACACTGTGGGCAGCTGGCCCAGCCAGTAGAGAGCCTTCTCCAGAGCTCAGCTCAGCTCTTCTCCCTGGGAAATTCCAACTTAAGTGCCAGGCATGACCCTCCTTCCTCATCCTGGGGTGAGGGATTAAAGGGAAGCGTCTGCTTTGAGACAGGCGTCTACTTGAATGGTCTCCCTTACTCCAACCCAGGCAGGCAAAGAAGCTGCCACATTCTCAAACCGGGGGAGGGCCCTGCCATGTGGTAAGCCCTGTAAGCTCTCAACTGTTCTTACCACCTCAGACTTGAGGCCCAGGCTGCAGAAGGGAGAAAATTCTATGGGGGCAAGGCCAGAGGAAGAAAAAGAAAAGGGAAGAGAGGAAAATCGGCAGGACTGTCTGTTTCCTCTGCTCTGTATAAGCCTACAACCAAGGACAGCCACGATCAGGAATGGCCACGGGACTGCCAACACCTGTGGATTGTTGCCACCGACATCACCCATGGCTCAGTGCTGCAGGAAGGGGCTCCTCTGCCCGAGCTGGCATCCTGTCCCCACAATTAGACAGTGCCAGATTATCTGACAAAAGTTCCAAAAAGGCTGACACAGGCTGAGGGCACAGCTTCATTCCATGGCCACCCCAGACCTTTCATGCCCTCTAATATCTTTTCCCTTGATCTAAAGAAACATTTACCACAGATTTTCTCCCTTATCTTAAATCTCCTCCGAAAATTTCAGCCAAAACCATCATCAAAACCTTGTAGGACTCTCAACTTTTTCTGCACCGCCCCCCCCAATCTTAACTGGTTGAGAGTTGATCCTGATTCTGGTAAGAAATTCTCACCAAGTGATCGAGTATCTTCCCTCTTCAAGTCCTTAACTGACAGCTCCATTCCTCCCTAGAAGGAGAGGGTTCCAACTCTTCTGGGTATAAATACTCAAGCCCCTGAATGACTTGTATCCATTCACCAACTCCCTGATGTGGAACCTGAAGCCAAATTTATTCAGCACCTCTCGGCCCCCTCAGAGCGGACAAGGAAAACCGAGGCAGCTTTGGCCCCACAGAGGCGGGGGGTAAAGAGGGCCACAGGAGCACATGGAAAAGCCACCAACAGACACTTGCTTTTGAAACAACAAGAGATCTCTGCTTCCTGGAGCATCCCTGGCTAAGAGGCTTTCTCAGTCTCGAGACTACAGAAATCCTCTCCTCACCCATGAGGCCACGTGGCCTATGGTGTAAACGGAGGGTAAGAGAGCTGGGACTTCAAAACACCGGCATCTCTGCAACTGTGAGTGTGTGTGTTTGTGCAGGTAGACTGGGGAGTCTCACCTGGGCCCCAGGTGGATGCCAGGGAGATGCCAAGAGAGGAGGACCACACAACAGGACCTAGGAAGTGAAGAAAGGTCTGGGAGCCCACAGGGCAAGGGAAAAAACCCACCAAAAGTTGTTGGTTTCCAGAGTGATAGCAACTTTATGCAAATATATTCTAATTACTACGGACTAATTATTTCCCCTGATTGTTTTCCAGTTCCAGTTGACAAATCTCACCATTCAGACCATGCTTAAGTGCAGATCAGGAAAGGAATCTGAACACAGAACTCAGTGCGGTTAAACGTTGCCCCAGGAGGGGCTGGTCCTCCATCTCAGACCTTTTTCCAGGGGAAGAACCCAATGGCCTCCTAGAGCAAGCTACCATCAACTTAGACTTGCTACCCTTAGGAGAGGGACCCTGGAACCAGCAAATACAATTACAAGCAAAGGAGGGCTCTGACCAAGAACTGCTCACTTCATACCTCTGAATGACACAGTGCAAATCTGGTAGTAAATGCAGCAAAGTCAACCTCAAGTGGAGAGCCAGCTAAAGAGCCTCAAAATTGGAATAAGAAAGTAAAAAAGTAGAAGAGGAAAGACACTAAGAAAGAGTCTTTTTCTTTGGACAAGCACCTGTGTAGTAAAGCAAAGAGCTGGTACTTTGGAGACAAAAATACATCTGCTCTGGAAAAGGAGACTCAACCATAAGAGTTTAAGGGCCCAGAAGAACAAAACTGTTTTATTTCTCAAGAGCAGGTGAGAACACAAGTGGACAAAACCACCAGCTTTAAGGTCTGCTACTCCCCTACTCAACACTGCGCAACTCAGAGGGGCTCAAAAACCTATGGCAGAACACACTAGACCAAAGGCCCCCAAGACTGAGCGTGTCCCAAACCCTGCCTGCCCAAAGACTCATCCAGCGCCGGAATCACACACAAGCCCCCTCCATGGAACTCATACATGCAACGGAAACAGACACTGCAGCCTGCAAGTCCAATACTGCTCAGTACCTAATGGCGGGGGGATGGGGTGGCTGGGGGTGGGTGCAGGAGGGTTGACAGATGCACATTAACTGGCTGGCCCCATAGCTACCTATTTACTCAATGGCCTGGGATTATCACAGCCCATTAGTCCACTCCTTCCAGGAGCTGACAGTCCCCCACGCTCTAAAGGAGATCTTCTTCAGGATTAGAGGCACAGACTAGGTGCCTCTGAAGCAGGACCCTCTCACTTAAAGAGTGGCCAACCATCAGTCACAGTAAACCAACCAGAGATACCAAAGTTCGTCTTATAGACTGTGCTTGCCTATCACTCAAGACATGGAAGAAAATGGCCTGGGACTTACATCAGGAGGGAAACACAGGCTCGGAAACTATGTCCTGGAAATGCATTCTAAGCTCAGCTTTTCTGAAACCATTCCCTTTAAGTCAGACATGCTGTCTCTCTCAGCTCTAACACATTGCCAGCAGGTCCTGGGGTGGGGGGTGGGGGGTCAGACAGAGGTACTTGAGGAAGAAAAGCCTTCACATGTCTGTTTGGGAGCCCAGAATGTCCTTGAGAAGAGCCGGGCTCAGAAAAAGTGAGAGAACTGGCCGACTTCAGAGCACCGAGGCGGTTTGGGACTCCTGCTCAGGTACGTCGCGCTCAGGCAGTGATTCAAGAAGGCAAACTGCTCATGGGGTCACGGGCCCAGTGCTAGATCCAGGCACTGAGGGAAGAGAGGAAGTGCTCATGGGGCGGACTATGAAACAAAGGAAGAAACCAGGAAGAGTAAAATCCTTTTTGTAAAAAAATTAGCCTGATAGGTAAAAAATATACAAAGTTGAAATTTGTTAAAGACACTGATAACAGGAAGAAAGACAACTCCAAACCAGTATCTGTTCCCACTTAAGTGCTAACATGACACAGACACACAGCGCCGCCTAGGGCAGCAGACAGATAAGAGACATCTGGGGCAGATGAACACAAACACAGCCAGGGCCTGCAATGCTCATTAACACAACAGCTGACAAACAAATATACAGAAAATTTTAATGGAGGAACCAAAGGAGAAGAGAAAAGGAGAGAAAATCTTAAAACTCAGCCCTGGGCTGAGGAGGCGCCACACAGCACTGAGTCTGGCACAGACAGCGATGGGACGACCGGCCAGGAACTCCTAGAGCAGCTTCTGGTAACAGCGGTGCAAAGCAATGAGAGACATACTGGCCACCAGAAACACATTTCTTCTTACTTTGGGGATGGGGCAGAGGCAGGAAACACACAAGCCCCCGCCTTGTGGGCAAGGTGCTGCCAACGCTACACTCGGAGTATCTCCAGGCAGTTGTTGTAGCAGATGGCAATCCAGTCGGGCTGAGTCGATGCCCACTGCACGTTGTTGATCTCTCCCTCAGCTGTGTAGGCCAGGATCGGGTCCTCGATGGCCCGGGGCATTTGCTGGATGTCCCAGATGAGAGCCTGGTGATCATCCGCTAGTGACAGAGAAAGCCAGCAGCAAGGTCACAACTCAGGCAAGGAGGAAATCGGTCCCCGCATTCGAGGTGGGCGGAGGGATCACAGTTTACAAAGCACTTGCTCACCAAGATCCCAGCGAGGGAGGTTTTATTTCAAGCCCCTGTTTTATAGATGAAGAAACTGAGACTCAGAAATGTTCAGGCACTTGCCCCAAGCCATAGAGCGATGCAGCCAGTACACAGCGGAGCCAGGACTCAGAGCAAGGCCTCTGATGTGTCCCAGGGCCCCAGTCACTGCAGCAGAGTGAGGATGGCAGAATGGGACCCAGAGGGGCACCTCTTACCTGGGGCAAGCATCAGGAAAGGACCAGGGGATATAAAAATTATCCCCAAACAAGTCATCTGCAGCCACTTAAAGTACCTGAGTGATTAAAAATCCCTCTCTGATGATTCAGTTTAATGGGATTTTACCCCATATCATGAACTTCTATACTTCGATGAGGTGTTACGTAGATGAGGTGAAATGCTGAGTGGACATGTGCTCTTAAAAACAAATTTCCCTAGAAAAGCTACCTTCTTCGCCCTGGGAAGTACCAGAAAGAAGGTAACCACCTCAAAAAAAAAAAAAAACTTAAGCACATGAAAAAGGACTGGAAGAAAATATATCCAAATGAGAACAGTGGTACTATGAGGCTGGCAGAGTTATGAACTATGTTTACTTTTTACCAGTCGGTGAGTGATCTGTAATGTGGTCATTCACTTTTAATCAAAACAGTAAGTCCTTAGACTTAAGGGAAGAAAAATAAAAAGGCAACGACCTTCAATATCACAGTGTCCCCTGATCCCATCAGCCCATCCTGATGTGAAAACCTGTCTCTGATACACAGGAGATCTGAGGAGCCTAACAGGCCATGCTCACGTGGGCAACACTGGCCTCGTGCCATGGCCATATAACCCAGACGAGGTACAAGATGCCTTTCCTAGGGACAATCTCTGTCAGGGGCTCTGGGGAGCTGTTTGCAATGCTCAGCACATTTACAGCACTAAGTTCCTTCTCCTCAGCGCCCCTCTCAACCAAGCACATTCTCCAGCCACAGCTCCTTCAGCTGAAGGGACTCTGGACAGGTACAACACACACAGCAGCAAGCAGGACAAAGGAAGCCACCAGGAGCAGAAGACAAACTTCTACTGGAGGACACTGGTACCATTCCTCAGGAACAAGGACCATACCATTTTTTTCTTCCTTCTCCCACCCTTCCCTAGCCACACCCCTGGGAAAAAAGAAGGCAATCATGAAGGAGTCAGCCCACAACCTGAGGTGCAGAGGAAGGCAGAAGGCCCCTAACTGCTCCTCAGTGACATACAGGCATGGGGAGACGGCCAAAAACAGGAAAAGGTTCATGCCTTTCAAATGAATACTAAAATAGTGCAAAACCACCAAACTACTCTGCTCCTCTGGCTTCATAATGAGCAAGGAAATGAGGATGTTACTTATGAGTGAGGAAAGGAGAAAGTATGTTAGAAAGAAACCCAAGGCACCAAAAATGAAAAAGATAAGAAGCAAAACATCATGGGATGAGAGTGGAATTCTGTCTGTATAAAATAAAGGGGCAGACTTTCGTATTGGGGGGGTATGTGGAGGCATGTACCCACATAAAAAGGTCTCAAAGGAGACACGCTGTTGTCAGAAGTCACCAATGGAGAGTGGGACTGAGGTGGACATCGGACAAGAAGGAGAAAAGATGACTTTCACCTTCCTATTTTATATACCTCAGTATTATTTTAATTTTTTAAAGGTTTTATTTATTTATTTGACAGAGAGATCACAAGTAGGCAGAGCAGCAGGCAGAGAGAGCGGGGGAAGCAGTTTTCCTGCTGAGCAAGGAGCCCAATGTGGGGCTCGATCCCAGGACCCTGGGATCATGACCTGAGCTGAAGGCAGAGGCTTAACCCACTGAACCCCCCAGACTATTTTAATTTTTAATAATAGACTTACATTATGCCTAGAATAAAAGCACACTGCCAGGATATTTTTAAGGGGTACTCTTTTTGGTCCAGCAAATGGTAAGGTGGGGACTATAAGTCTCACCCCACTGATCAAGCCATGCAGGGCCTTCAACACCTCCAAAGACTATTGCAAGGCAGCTCTGTCTCCCCAGGAGTGCCAACCTTGGCCATTCCCAAACATTCTGTTCCATCTAAGAGACACTGCCCCCCTTCTCCAGAGTCCTGGATTGGAGTCCTCTGGGCCAACGTGGATTTCAAGAAGGCACAGCCTACAACTGATACATGATGTAAACAGTGCAGGACAGGAGCTCTGCTACCACTGAGGGTACAGGATCTTCTGGATATGTGGACTACTCCAATTTCACAAGTGGAGGGAGGCTCTCTGTTGAGCTACTTTGCTAAATCTCTCAAACCACCCTTTGGAAATAGCAATGATTACAGTTCTAAGGAGACAGAGGGAGACCTCCTCCCCTCGCCCTCCCTGTGGCTTGTCCCCACACCCCGCCACCATGATTACCTGCGGTACAGATGTGGCAGGATGAGTGTGGGGCCCAAGCGATGCCGTTGACACATGCTCGGTGGTTGTTCAACCTGGCGACAGGTGTGCAGGGGACTCGGACATCCAGAATCACTACCTGCAGAAATAATAAGTGAACGGCTCAGGAACTTCAGGGTGTAACGGGAAAACAAACAAGACATTACACAAGGAAAACATAATTCTAAAGCATAACATGTTCATTTGTGGATTTAAGACCATTAGAAGCAGAGGGTCTTGGGCCCAAAAGCAGCTATAGGATTGAGGAAAAAGACAAGACTAAAAGCAAAGACGCAGGCAGTTTGTCGTCTATGTCTTAAGCAATGTAGGGCATTTAGACTGATAAGGAAGGGGAGAAGTAGGAGTAGGTAACATGAGTTTGGATAATAGGACCAGGTCCTGTTTGGTGCTTGTACTAAGAATTCCGCGCATGCTCAGTGGACAGAATGAGAGGCCTCTCCCCACAACCCCCAAAGCAGAATTTGAAATGTAAGAAGTCTGAAGTACCAGCTTCCCCAAAAGTTAATCACTGCTTCATCTCCACCCACACTTCATTGCTTTTATTAAGAAACAGGCCACGAAGAGTTGTCATTTCTATGTCTGTTCGCTAAAGCTGGAAGAATTTGTCCAGACCACCGAAGAGGAAAAGTGCCTGGTTCAGCACCATAAGCACATATGATTCGGTCTGCTTTTCAGACACTGCTTTTCTTGGCTCCAACGCCAATGCTCCAAGTTTTTATTAAAAAGTTCTTAACACACAGTCCTTGTTTTAGACCGGGCTTACTCAGTCCCAGCGTTGCTGACATTTTGGGTCAGATCATTTTTGAGCGGGGTTGGGGGTACTCTTGTATGCGGGATGTTTAGTAGGCCCCCTGGCATTCGCCCACCAGATACCAGCAGCACTGCCACCTGCCCCCAAGTCGCGGCAATCCAAAACGTCTTGACGTTTTTAAAACTCCACTGGAGAGGAAACTGCCACCGGCCGAGAACCACTCTTCTAGCAGCCCTCACTGGTGCCACAGACAGGAGGCCATGCCGTGGGCAGCCCAGAGCAGGGTACTCACCTCCATTCCATCCATGGCCATGGTGGCCAGGTAGTTAGGGTCCTGCTTGTTCCAGCAGAGGCGAAGCAGTGGGTGATGCTGTGGGTCTTCGTAAATGATGGTGCTGTGTTCTAGATGACGAAGGTCAAACATCCGCACCGAGCCATCAGCGCCCACAGAGGCAAACATGTCCCGGCCACCCCCAGCCCGACTAAATGCAATATCATAGACCTGTTGATGAATAAGAAGCTTCAGTCAGATTCAGATCCGGGACCTTCTTTTCCTGTACCAGGGACCTCTATCATCCCTACTTCCCCTATACCCCCCTCATGACACAGAAGAAGGTCAAGACAGCCAAACGGTATCTGTGAGTTCTGGCGCCTGAGACCTCTAACCTCTGTGACTTTCTGCTACGCAAACTGGCTGGCTTCCTCCTGCATTCCTGCTTTCTGAGTCTGTTTCCTCCAACCTTTGTGATAAGACAAAGAGCAGAAACCCTGCTGAGCTGCAGAGCACAGGGAGGAGCAAGTGTTCCGTATGGGGTCAGCCAGTGGCTGTCCTCTGCCACACTACAAAATCCACACGTCTGTTTCCTGGGCCATGATGGCTTTCGTTTGTGTGTGATCAGAGACAGACCCATGCCCACATTAAGGCCACTGATTTGAGAGGTGGAAGCAGCCCTGCTGTGGCGCTTACTAACAGCCACTCGGGTTCTGCTGTGAAACCTGGACCTGAGACTCATTTTCATGAAAGAAGTAAGAGCAGTTTCAAATCATGGGACACTCAGGGGTTCCTGTCTTCACAAAGAGGTTTGGGACCACTCTCTTGTCCTAGGACATGCTTTATTTCTTCTCCCAGTTGGTTTGTATTCAGAAGTGAGTCAATTTAGGTTTTGAATCATTGTTTTCTACATTACCTCCTGCAAACACTGCACACTAATATCCATGAGAAAACAGAGGCAGAAGGCAACAAAGAGCCTCAGAGAAAGAAAGGGATGAAGAGAGACAGACAAAGCCAGAGCCAGAGCGAGAGAGAGAAAAACTGAAAAACCAGTGCCAAAGATCTCCTGGGGTCAAAGATAGCGACAGCTGACTTCTAAGACGACACAGTGGCATCTCTCACTAAATACTGGGACTCTAGCCTCCTTGAGGTTCTGCCTACTAAGGGACATTGCCAAAGGAACATCTATTTTTATGTGACCTCATAAATTCCTTTTCCTCTGGCTGACTATGAAATCACGCTTCTCTTTCTATGGTTGGAACTAAGAGTGGTTCAAAAGCGAACTGGGCCAGTCATCACAAAGAGGCCTGACAGATCACAGCTCCGTCCAGCACCGTCCAGCCATGTTAGGGCATAGGTGTATTTACAAGATGTGTTGCCCACAGGCTGGCTGCCAAGAACTCCCAGGGACAGGGACACCATGGCTGCCCTGCTAAGTGCTTAGATGCCACAGGCAATGTGGCTAAATATGTCAAGCTCTCTCAGCTCCTTCCTCTGTGCTCCATTTGGGCATTTCCTCCTAAACCAAGGGAAGGTGACAACTCCTGGATATATATTTCCCTCCTCTACACCCAGCCCTCTGGCAGGCAGCAACAAGGAAGAGCCTCCAAACAAGTCTCCACTTTGACAGAGACGTGGACTGAGGAAGAGCAAAGATCTAGCAGGTGTCATTGTGTCTCTGAGAGCCACCCTCCCAGGTCTATTTCTTCAAGGCCAGGGTGCTGGCCCAGGGCCCGTCTGCCATTATCCATCCCTGGCCCTTGCCCTAGGGAGAAGCTAAGGTATTTCTCATTCCCTCTCTCTGTACCCTCAAGTTTCTTTGCCAATGGCTGTGCCCCCTCCGTGGTTGTATCCTGGGGAGACCCAGCCCCTGGGCTCCAGGAACCCTGTCTCCTCCCTTTGCCCCTCTGGCCTACAGGCAGCAGCAGCTTCCTGCTCCTATTCTCCACATGACCTCACCGTTGCCAGTGTGGCTTCCCAGCTTCACCATCATCTGTGTGAGCATTGCCCTAGGTTAAATCCCAAGTTTAAATATTTAGAGTAGTTGCAGTCTTCTGGGATGGACCCTGACAGAGAAGAGCTAACGAGGTTGTCACAGAACTAAAATGTAGCAACCTGTTCCACTTGATGTCAAGAGGGTTTCCAGAAGTTCCTTACTGGTCCTCTCTGTCGGACAAACTCTTCCTTTGCCCCTTGGCTTAGCAGCAGCTAAGTTGAGCAATCTTATAACAGAGCTTACCCTGAGGAGCACAGAAAGCCAAAGACCAATCCCTTTCTAAGAGTGATAACCTGGTCACCATCTTCCCATTCTGAGGACCTCAAGTGTCTGACCTGAGGTCAAGGCGTTCCTTTTATCTGTACTAATACTCCTTGCCGAGCAGGGTAAGGGAGAAAAGAAAAAGAAACATGACCCACAGGAAATCAGAGTACAAGAAACATGCAGTGACTCTGGGAGAAAAAAAATTTATGACCAGTTTCCAAAAGCTCTCCTCAGAAGAATGCTTTGATCAAAACACAATCACAAATAACTCTCCTCGGCTTTTCCAACAAACACAGGAGAAACATCACCATGAAAATAAACCATATTCCATTCCAGATTGTATTGAAAGTATTAAGGAACATACTAGAATTTCATAAAACAAGTTGAGAGAAAGAACGATGATTTAGGTTTGTCTGCCAAGAAATTTTCCCTCTTCCTGGTTTCCCCCACTTCCCTCCCTTCCAAAAAGTAAATATATTTCAAGGTAAGTGTTATTTTTCAGTCCCATCAGGTCCACTAAGAGAGTTCATTATTACAAAACAGCAATCTCTGGCACAAAAACTATTATGTAGATTAGGTTGCTTGTATCAGCCAAAAAAACACGTTAGTTTACAACTGTTGTTTTTCGCTGTTTTGACATGTTACCATTTTCAGTTTCAACAAGACATCGGCATTATGATTTTCCACATACTTTGCACAACAGTGAGAGGGTGGTCTGACCTCGAACTGAAGGCACAGAAAGCAGCTGAGGAAAGCAGAAAGAGGAACAGCATCATTACCTCCTTGTCATGCGCGATCAGTTGGGTCTTCACATGACCAGACACAAGATTCACTCGCCCCAACACCTGCCCTGTCTCCAGCCCCCAGATGGTACAAGTCGTATCAATGCTGGAGGTACCTGGAAACAACCAGTGCAAGTCAGTGGCTGACAGGAGTGAGGCTTCCCTCCTTGCATCTACTGCTCTGTGTAACCCAGGAGACGACATGCCACAGATACTTCCTAGGCAACAAGAGTCAAGTATTCAATCCCTACCCCAGGACCTCAGACTCTGCTGACTGGAGAGACAAGATATACACACATGGGAAGCTCAGATCCATACGAGGAATTAATAACTACATTTCATATTTGGCCTCTTTCCCTCTGGCCCGTTTTAGGCTGATCCATGGACCGCAGGCCCAGTGTTTTATCTGAGGAAATGCATCTCTGCTTCTTCAAAAAGGAATACGTACCCCCTTGCTCCCTTACCTAACAGATAAGGATCCACCTCATTCCAGTCAAAGGAAGTTAGAGGAGCACAGAAATCTGAGTTCTTGTTATTGTTTAGCAAACATTCCAGCCGGGTTTCTGTTTCACCAACCTGAAGGAACAACAATTTTTAAAAATCAGCCAGTCTTATCTTCACAGAAAACTTCTAAAAGCTCTGTTTAGACAATATATCATTAAACAGAAGACACAGGAGAAAAACATTATTATCCTAGAGTAATAAAATCCAGAGGAACTCCTCCAAATGCTACTTCTTTCCAAGCTTTCTCCTCTGGCCCGCTTTGTTTTTCCCAATTCTCACCCCGAGGCATTCCTAGAGGAGCAGTCTCCTCACCTTGTCCGACCTGGAACCTCTGCACCCTGCCTGGCACTACTCCGGGCCAGAAGAGACGCCGCTGCAGACGCGCTCAGCCGAGAGAGGAGGTGAGGCTCCATGGTCCACTCACACACTCAACTAGAATCAACGGCCTGGTACTTTGTTTTTAAATTACTCCAAAATATCTTGGCTATAGACAGAGTAACAAGCCTCAAGCATCCTCCCGCCTCCTACCCACCCCACCCGCAGAAGGTTCTCTTCATTTCACCAGGTTCACTGAGCCTCTCAAGTTTCCATGGCTGACTGTAGCCTGACCACAGCAGGACTTCAAGGAATCCTGGCTAGATTTACTGGGGAATCTGCTGAACCAATAAAGGTCATTCCAGAATCACTCCCATTTGCTTCTCCTGGGCTACAGGGACACTTGCAGCCTCCAACCCCAGTCAGTTCTGCGACTCCATGATGCTTAGTAACAGCTAACATGGAGAAAGCCCATCAGTCTGGCCGCTGACTGAACACCTGCTCACCCTCCACACACGAAGATAGTCGCCACTTGTCGCCAGTAGGTCTGGATAGACGCCTTTTGTGTCGGGGATCCACATGAGCTTTGTCGTGGGGTACGGATGGTCAAAAGTGTTTCTGCAAATAAACTCCGAACTCTCTTCATCTAAACCAACAAGCTGGACCTGTAAAACAACCAAAGTGAGCCATGGAGAAACATTTGTGTTTCTGGAGCAGTATCGAATACCTCAGATCCTTCCCCCTACCTCCCAACGCCTCACCTAGTCCTGTACTTAACACAAAAGCATGTGTCAAAGGAGCCTTCAAGAAAACAAACCACTGGGGCACCTGGGCGGCTCAGTTGGTTAAGGGTCCAACTCTGGATTTCGGCTCAGGTCATAATCTCAGTCAGGGTTGTGAGACTGAGTCCCTGCATCAGGCTCTGAGCTAGACCCGGAGGCTGCTTAAGATTCTCTCTTTCTCTCCTTCTGCCCCTCCCTCCACCCTCTTCCCCAGAAAGAACCCAAACCGACTGTAAGTGGCAAAAAAGTGGTTGCCACTGACGGCAAAGTTCCCTGGTTTCCAGCCACGTTTTCTTAAGAGTTGATTTGGACCAATATTAACTTCCATTCTTTTTTGTCAAACTCAGTCCGGCTCAGTGAGAAATGCCACTCGGTATATAGTTGTTTATTGATATCCACTGACTGGAAGATGGAATGGAGGAATTTTTGGTAAAGACCCATAGGAAGTGGATAAGCACCAAACCAGACGGTGGAAAAACAGAATTCCTACTACTGCTGCCTAACTTCAGTCTCAGATACCACTGTCTTCCTGCCTTTTTTTTTTTTTAAACAATTTTATTTAGGTACGGCTGCATGCAGTAGAAGTCATTTAAGTGTACAGTTCAATGACAAAGAATGTGTACATGCACAAAGGTATACAGTTGGGAAACCCCTCCCCATGGTAATTAAGATACCGAACATTTCTATTACCCCAAAAAGTTCTCTTGGGTTCCTGTGCAGTTAACCCCATACCCGTAGCCTCAAGCAACCACTGATCTGTAGTTCTGGCCTTTCTGTAACACCATACAAATGAAATCATATGGTCATGAGTCCTGGGACGGCTACTTCAGCACAAAGCTCCTGAGTTTCGTCCACATTACTGGGTGTATCAATAGCGCCTTCCCTTTCATTGCTGAAAACACTGCATTATGTGGAAACACTATAATTTATGTATCCATTTACCAGCTGGTGAACTTTTAGGTTATTTCTAGTTCGGAACCATTATAGATATTGCTATGAATACTTATGCATAAGTTTTTCTTGGACAAGCTTTCATTTCTCTTGGGTAGACAACTGAGAGTAGAACTACTGGGTCATGTTGTAAATGTAGGTTTAACCTGATTAAAAGACAAATGGCCAACTGTTTTCTGAAGTAGCTGTGTCCTGCATTCCCACTATATTCCACTCCTCTAACATAGGAGAGGTCCACACCCTCCACATCCCTGGTCAACGCTTGGTGTTGCCAGCTTTAAAAAAAAAAAAAAAAAATCATTCTAACAGGTGTATAGCAATATATTAAATTGCATTTTCTTACTAATGATACTGTGTATCTTTTCATATGCTTATTCTCCACTGAAGCCTGTTCAGATATTTTGTCCTTTAAAAAAAAGGCGGGGATGGCGCCTGGGTGGCTCAGTGGGTTAAAGCCTCTGCTTTCGGCTCAGGTCATGATCCCAGAATCCTGGGATCGAGCCCCACATCGAGCTCTCTGCTCAGCAGGGAGCCTGCTTCCCCCTCTCTCTCTGCCTGCCTCTCTGCCTACTTGTGATCTCTCTCTGTCAAATAAATAAATAAAATCTTTAAAAAAAAAAAAACTTGGCTTTTTAGACTCAGAAAAATTGGGCAGAGAGTAGTGTTCCCATGTACCTCCTGTCCCCACACGTACACACCACATCCACTATCTAAGCACCAGCACCAAAATGGTACATTCGTTCAAATGATGAATGTACACTGATACATAATCACCCAAAGTCTATAGTTTAGAGTTCACCCTTTGTGTTGTATGATCTGTAGATTACGACATGTATCCACCAACGTGGAATCATATAGAACAGTCTCATTTCATTCTTTACCAGGCTGTTTTCTTTTTTTTTTCTTTTTTTTTTTTTTTAAAGATTTTATTTATTTATTTGACAGACAGAGATCACAAGTAGGCAGAGAGGCAGGCAGAGAGAGAGAGAAGGGGAAGCAGGCTCCCCGCTGTGCAGAGAGCCCGATGCGGGGCTTGATCCCAGGACCTTGAGATCATGACCTGAGCCGAAGGCAGAGGCTTTAACCCACTGAGCCACCCAGGCGCCCCCAGGCTGTTTTCTTATTTACTGAGTTCTGAGAGTTCTTTGCATATTCTGGATACAAGCCCCAGTTATGTGTTTTGCAACTATGTTTTCAGAGTCTACAGCTGTTCCATCATTTTCTTTCAGTGTTTTTTGAAGAACAGAAATTTTATTTATTTTTAAAAGTTTTATTTACTTAAGTAATCTCTACACCCAACGTGGGGCTCAAATTCACAACCCGGAGATTGAGTCATGTATGCTCTACAGACTGAGCCAGCCAGATGCCCCAAAGAACAGAAATTGTAAATTTTGAGGATGTCTGTTTATCGTTGCTTTTTTTTTTTTTTTTAACTAAAGGTTTTTGTGTCCTTGCTAGGAAATCTTTGCCCCACTCCCGGCCACAAATTTTTTCTTATGTATTCTTCTAAAAGTTTTGTAGTTTTAGGCTTTACATTTAAGCCATGATCCATTTCAAGTTAATTGCATTGTACGATGTGAAGTATGAATCAAGGTTTGTTTTTTTTACATATGAATGTCTGACTGTCCCAGCATCATTTGATAAAAACTATCCTTTCTCCTTTGAATTACTTTGGCCACTTTGTTGAAAATCAACTGACCATGTATTTGTGTATCTATTTCTGGACTCTCTATTTTGACCTATTGATCCATAAGCCTATCTATTTACCAGCACCACACTGTCTTGATTATAGCAGCTTTCTAGTGAAGTCCTGAAATCAGATGGTATGAGTTCTTAAACTGTTTTTTTTCCCCCCAGAATGATTTAGCTATTCCATACATTTGCTTTTCTATGTAAATTTTATTTTATTTTATTTTATTTTTATTTTATTTTTTATAAACATATATTTTTCCCCCCAGGGGTACAGGTCTGTGAATCGCCAGGTTTACACACTTCACTGCACTCATCATAGCACATACCCTCCCCAATGTCCATAATTGCTTTTCTATGTAAATTTTAGAACCAGCTTGCTAAATTCTACCAAAAGCCTGCTAGGATTTGGCTTGGGATTGTGTTGCACCTACAAATCAGTCTGGAAAACTCTCTTAACAATAATGAGTTGTCTAGCCCATAAACAGCATATTTCTCCTTTTATTTAGGCTTTAATTTCTTTCAGCAGTGTTTTGGAGTTTTCAATGTACCAGTCTTCCATTTTTTTTCATTAACTTTATTCCTAAGTGTTTTTTATCCTATTATAAAAGAAATTGTTTTAAAAATTCCATTTCCAGTTGTTTATTGGCACTATATGGAACTGACTTTTGTACATTAATATTGAATTCTGTATCTTTGGTAAATTAGTTATTAGTTTTAACAGCTTCTTTGGTAGCTACCTAAGGATTTTTCTATGTATATTTATAGATCTTGCCACCCATGTCTTTTAAAAACTTCATAATGACTAAGTCTAAATATTCATTTTTACGGAACACCTACAGGCTTTCAAAGATCAAAAAATATAATGTGTTAGGGGAGATGATGTATGAAGATGTAAAAGGAGAAGAAAACCCACTGTCCTAAAACACAATAACAATGCCCTAAGATAGCAATAAACGTGATATCACAGGTAATACATGATAAGCTGCTCATTTATAACATAGATAACTGGTAACAGTTTAGAAGAAAGCAGTAATTCAAAGGAAAAGTAGGTAGGACTTGAGCAGTCTTCAAAAGTGCATGGAAAGGTTCTGGGGAGGCAGAGAAGAAAGGGACGGCACCCCAGGCAGATGGGAGAGAAGGAACAAATCAATGTACTAAGGCAACAAACTAAATGACCTAGCTGGTGGCAGCATGAAAACCTGTTTGAGAGGAACTATCTGAGAGAACAGTGCGGACAGGGCTGGGAAGGTGTGCCTGGGGCAGGCTGCAGAGCCCTGAAAGTAAACTGAGGACCTAGGTGGGCTTTCCCCTGTGAAGGTGTCTGAGAAGGTGGCAGGAGGGCTATGAGGCCTTGGAAGTAAGAGTATGAGGCCTGGTAATGCTGGGCAGGACTGTTTGCCAGGCAGAGGGCTCAGCCCAGAGACCCACAGGAGAACTGGAAAAGGTTAAGGGCCTATGGTGATAGATAGTGAGAATGGCAAGGGACAACCACAGGTGGCCCAAAGGGGGATTTTTGACCAAATGAACAGTTCTTTGAGAATTCAGAATTTTCCAGAAAATAATGCATAAAGAAGGAAGATTCTAGATGGAACAGTGAAAATCTGCATCAACCCTCCTGGGGGAGGAAGGAGAAAACAGATAAGAGGTTAAATTTGTGGGCTCCTTGGGCAGAGTAAAGAATAAGCCTCTCATACAGATTTTGAGCCAGATATTTCATTCATGTACTTATTCAATGAACCTTAATGAGTAGCTACTAGGTGCCAAACACTGTTCTAAGTGCTAGGGATATGGCACCGAGTACAAGAGACAAAGTGCTGGGGATATGGCACCGAGTGCAAGAGACAAAATCTCCCTAACCATACAGAGAACACCATGAGACTACACTTCCTTCTAAAAGCTACCTTCAAGTCATCAGAGATCTCCCCTCAACCTTGAAACGTCAGATCCCGTAAGCATTTGCCACTTGGATCCTCTTAAGCAAATATTCAAGGTTCTCCACCCCCAGCCCTAGCCTATCCTACTTCCATCTTATTTATCTAGTCACTGCTTCTCATCTTCTTCAGGTTCCTTCCCTTACATGGCCCTCTATGCTTGCAAAACCCTACTTCCTTTCCATAGACCTAAATCCCACCCAATTTTAATACAGCACAATGGCATCAGGAACCAGGGCCCTTTCCTTACCACTTGCTAGCTGTAGGACATGTTACTTAACTTTGCTAAACTGGTTTTCCCATCTGTAA